TTAAAGGAGGTAGATGTTGGCAATCAATTTTAAAATGAACAAGAGTTTGAATTTCGTGATCATATGTTTCAATGGATTTGTACAGAGGCATCTAAAATGGGGTTTGATATTGTAATTGGAAGGTCCGATAATGGTTTAAATAAAAAAGATGCACTTGCGATATTGACATGTGAAAGAAGTGAGAAATATAGACCTTCTCTCTGGAATTTCAAACGAGATGACACCGGTTTTCAAGAAAATGTGAATGTTTCTTTAAGTTGTGTGGTTATTTGTTGGAAAATAACAAATGGAGATTTAATGTGATATGTGATTTATATAAACATGATTTGTGTGAAAATTTGGTTGGTAATCCTATTGCATGCCGCCTCATTCTGGAAGAGAGGAATGCATTTTAGACATGACATTAAATTTGACGCAACCAAAAAACATACTTACAACTTTGAAACGTAAAAGACCCGAAAATATCGCAAATATCAGGCATGTGTACAATATTTGGTATCAAACTAACAAGGCATTGATGGGGGATAGAACTTAAATGCAAGTATGTTTTGGAGTCATTCATATTCCATAAAGTTATTAACACATTTCCTAATGTGCTCACCATTGATTCAACGTATACGACCAACAAGTACAAACATTCATTATTGGAAATTGTTGGTGTTACCTCTACTGAGAAGACTTATTGTGTCGGGTTTGCAATTCTAGAGAGCAAAAAAGAAGAGAATGTTACTTGGGCTTTAGGGGTGTGTCGGACAATGCTAAAGGACCAAGAAGACATGTTGAAAGTAATTGTTACCGACCGCGATATATTTTTAATGAATTCAGTTGCAAAGTAATTTCCTACTTCTTATGCATTACTTTGTAGTATCACATAACAAAGAATGTGAGAAGTCGGGTGATAACGCGAAATCATATCATATATTTACCATAAAATTTATCCGTTTTATGTCATATTTACCCGATTAACTCTCGAATATTCCGAGTTCTGTATGGTTTTATGCAGGTACAACATATCTCAGCTCAAACTAAGAAGCAACGTGAAATGCGCGAGATTGCGGCCAAAACCAAAGAGAAAAGATAAATCTGTCAAGAAATCCATTTTTTGCTGATGTTACGGTCGTCACACCCCTGCCACGACCGTAAGACGCTTCAGAAGAGTGTGACGCTCGTAACACCCCTGCCACGACCGTAACGCGCTTTTTCATGCAAATTGCGCGTAACGCCCCAGCCACGGCCGTAACAAGCTTATAAGTGGAAAATTCTGTACGTGGTCAAGCAACAGAACGTGGTAAAGCAAAATGAAGTGGTCAAGCAAAGCATGCATACGTGCCTAATTTCTCTCCAACTTCCAAGGCCACTTTCTCCTCATTTTTCTCAGTAAGACCAAGAATCTAGGAACTCAAATATAATTCCAACCGTACTTTTACTCTCTATATATAGCTTAGACTTCGAAAGAAAAAAGAGGAGAGTTTAGTTCACAAAAACCTTGCGGAAGCTCTGCCGATTTTTAATCTCGATTTTATTTCCGAATTTCGTCCATTTAAGTTTTCATTCCGATGTTCCAATCTTGCCGGCTTGTGGAAGAAGGATCTCGGATTTTATTGCTTTTCAGGTTTTTATTGTATTTGATATAATTGCAATTTTATTTATGTTATATTTCTATTCTTTATTTATGATGTATGCGCTATTGTTTTCTGAATTTATTTCCTGCTTTTTAATTCCGAGTATTATGAGTAGCTAAATACCCGTAGTCGGGGTGTGATGAAATAACCGAATAAATTGATGTTTTTCTAAGCTAAAACCTTAATTAACTTAATTTCTGGCCGTGACTTTTTATAATTAAAAATTAAGCTTTTTATTACGAGAGTAAAGAAAGTGAAATAGGGAGAAATCAAGACCACGAGAGTGTGAGGTTTTAACCGGATAGCTAAAGTTAGGCATTCGATTTAAATACAGCGAGAGTGCTTTAAAACGAATTAGACTTATTTAGTTTTCAAAAAGATGCTTTCTAAACACTTATGGACTAGCGAGAGCATACATTTGGCTTTAGGAGTATGATCCGAGGTAAGACCACAAGAGTGTGAATCGAGGGTTTTTAAACTGATAAGTACTACAGAACAATTAAGTTAAATATTTTTATATGCTTAGGTACAACTTAATTCGCATAGGTTCAAATCATCACGCTCCGACCACTTTAATATTAATTCCCTTAATTGAATTTAGTTTCTCTTTTGTTTTAAACTTCTAAAAACCAAACGTGACAATTTCCGCCTTAGCTAAACAACCTTGTTCATAACACTAGAGTGATTACGAAGTCCCTGTGGGTTTGACATCTTTTTATTACTACCGCGATAGACTGTTCACTTGCAGTTAAGATACCGTTAGACACATTAGGTCGATCGCAGACACATCATCGGGTTAAGCCCGCAGTAGGGACAAAACAGATAGAGGGCGAAGATGGAAAAGTGGTCAAGGCGAATGTCATATTGGAAAAAAATAATGGAAGCATAGAATGTTATAATAAATTCTTCTATAAAAGAGTTATATGTCGATATTGTTATACATTTCATGAAGGTGTGTGAGACATATCCAAATTTATTGAAAGAGAATCAAATAAATAAAAATCAAAAGGGGTACCACCTATAGTTATAGATTTAGCTGGCGACAAGTCTTTTGATTCATTTTAGTTTTTATTTAATTTATTGCATGTAACATTGTATTAATGTTAATGATGTCTAATATATACATTTTGAAGTTTGTCAAAAAATCATGCACTTATTACACATTTTGTTTCTGTCTTGAACATAATTTCATTCAATTCTGAGAGGTTCTAGAAATACATCTCCGAATTAAGATAACATGGTGATACCAGAGATACATTTCTGGAATATCCCCTGGTACAAGATAGAATTTCCAAGATCCATAATTATCTACAACTATTATAAATATGGGACACTTGTCTCATTGTTTCATACCAAAACACATTACACTAGAATGAACATCATTTGGCATGTCGTAAATGTCTACTTTAACGCTATGAAGCCCTCAGTTGAATTTAAGACCAATGAGTATACCCCTCTTAAATATATGAATACATGATGCGGAACCTCCTACCATATGACGACAATAAAAAAATTGTGAAGATCGAGTATCGTTCGCTGTCTGTTGACAACAAAGAAAGATGCATGCGGAATATGTGGAATACTTTTTTCCGTTTAGAAACAAAATTTCCAATTGAGATGCATGCGACGATTTTGAGATCAGTCGAAGATATTATGAAAATGTTGCAACATTCATCTGAATATTGAAATGTAGTGTTAGATATATGCTAACATCACCTATGTAGTGTTTTTTTTTTATGTTATCAATGAAATTTTTATTTTTTCAACCAACACCTTTTTTATTTTTCAGCTTCAGCTTCATTATAATACAAAGATGCAACTTCGTATTGTTTACGGAAATGCATTTTTGAATGCAACATAACAACAAATTTGGAGCGTTTCAGATTCAGCTTTTGTTGTATGTTTTTGAGTGCGTCCAGAGATGCATCTTCATTTTTTGGAGGCATTATTATATCTTCACTTGGTGTGTCAGTAATGCATATAGTGCATTAACAATTTCCTTTTTTTAATTCATACATTAGTCTGCATTAGGGGTGTTCAAAAATATAGTTAATTGAATTGTATACTTGATCTGAACGACTTTGCACCATAAAAAGTTGAACCACATAAATTGAATTGAAACCATTTTAGCAATTAACTAATTTTTTGTTAAAGTGATTACTGTAAATTGAACCAAACCATAAATGTAATTTGCAGTGCAATTAAGGTTGGAAATGAGTTGAGTCGAATCGAACTCGCTTCAGCTCGGCTCGACTCGTTAAAAATTAGTTCAACTCGAATTTCTATTCGAGTTCGTCACGAACTTTTTTTCCAACTCAAACTCGAATCGTTAGAAATTCACGAACAACTCGTCTCAACTCGTTAGGTTCAACTCGCTTGTTTCAAGGATTTAAAAAAAAAATTAAGTCTATTTTTTTTATATATTTAAAATTTTAAATTAATATTTTTAACTAAAAAATATAAAAATAAAATAAAATTTATAAGATTGAAATTTATACAATGATGATTTTATTTGTATAATCATTTTTAGAAAAAATTTGCTCACTTGAAAATATAAATTAAAAATTAAAAAACCGTTAGATTAAAAAGAAAATATAAAATTAAGATTGGGAGCAAATCTTTAAACCTACTCTTAAAAACAACATAATTTATCTCATATATAATCTAGTTTACTCATGAACGTGATGAATCGAACCATGTATAGTTCAAATTCTACTCATTTAATTAACGAATTTAATTTATAACTCATGTTCAGCTCATTTGGTTCATTAACCTAGTTCAATATAATTGTCGAACCATTTTTAGAAAAAATTTACTCACTTGAGAATATAAATTATAAATTAAAACTATTAGATTAAAAGAAAATATAAGATTAAGATTGAGAGCAAATCTTTAAACCCATTCTTAAAAACAACATAATTCATCTCATATATAATACGAATTTAATTTATAGCTCATATTTAGCTCATTTGATTCATGAACCTAGTTTAACAATATAATTGTCAAACCGAATTCCAAACTATTTTTGAATTAATTCAGTTCATTGTCAACCCTAAGTGCAATTCATAATTCATAAACCATGATCACCCCTTGGCTGCATTGCTCATATAATACCATATTCATGCATGCAGACATTTCATCCTAAAATAGTAGCGTTACCCTTTTTTACAATTTCATTTGGATTTCAATGTTTTTGTCATTTACATATTATATTAAATACGTGTTTTGATCTTTATTACACATTATTTTGGTCTACCTTAAAATTATCTTCACTCATTTACATAAAATTCAAATGTCACTTCATGCATTCATTACACTGATCTATTACTAACTTCCTACAATTGTAGGCTACAATTTGTAGCCACTGTTTTTTAACATTCAATACAAGTCCAAAGATTCAAGGATCCTGCGAGCCTGGATTTGGAGAGCAGTTAGTCTTTGTTCTGGATCAAGCGTCGAGCCAAACTGACTAGCTGCCCATATCAAGGAGGCTGATGTCTCCCCTAAGAGACGCCTTGTGTCTTCATGTATAGTTGCCAAAGGAGGCGAATCTCTACCATTGACATGTCCAATGAGCAGCTGCAGAAACTCTCCACATTTTAACCTGACAAAGAACATTTCTTTTAATATCGAATTCTCAAGACAGATGAGAAAATTCCAGGCATCATGAGCATGAAAGATATGGAAGGAATCATGAAATCCAAATAAAAGTGTCATTACCATGTCATTAATGACAGCTCAAAGTCTATTTGTCTTATCTTTTCATTGCTTATAGATTATAGAAGGAATTTTAACAAAGGTGAAATCCGTTGATATTTAGTAAGCAGTCAGGTTTTTAAGTTTCTTTTAGCAAATTTTCTATGGTGTGCATAGAATAATAGACATTGATTATGAGTTCGTTAGATAAGACCAAAAAAAACTAACTTTTAGCTTTTCCGCTCGCATCAAGAAGCTTTGTTTGGTAACGGTTTTAGTCCCGACTCACATATTTTATATGTTTCTAAAAGAAAACAAGATAACTGCTTAATTATCAAGTCGAACTAAATTAGAAATTCTGATGCTCTCTACATATATCATAGAATAGGCTCTACATGATATATATCCCGTTAGTGAGAAGCCAGGCTAATTCAATGATACACGACAAACAAAACATGACCAGCATGATGAGGGCAAATATAGACTACTTATCTACAAAAGAGAGTTGAAGATCTGTCTGACAAGTATATGAGCATTAAGATGAATGAGACTGTCTGTAACAAGTAGTACCTGAGATTTTCATCCACTTGTTTGTCTCTTATAAGGGCCGCAACTTCCGTAATACCATTATATTTCTCAAAATCCTGACAAGTATTATTAAAAGAGAGAGAAATTTCAAGAAGTAAACTAAGGAAATGTTCTTCAGCAGCAAGCATAGACAAACTCTCAGCTAAGCATCAAGAAAAGGAACATCGGGTAGCAAATCATATCAGCTAACCGAAGACACTCATATGTCTAAACCTTCTTTAAACAAAATAAAAAAGAAAAAAGAAAAAGAAAAGGCAATACTCTTTTTACTTTTATTGGTAATGGTAACTGCCAAACTACTGTATTTAGTAACTCTTCCTTACTAAACCGCAAATAATGAATAAATGATAACCTCGACTTATAAAGCATAAATGGATGATAAAAGAAAAGGGTTAGGTACCATTTGATTGGGTGATGAATCAACCATCAATGAGATCAGAGCATCTAAGCATGCACTTTGCTCAAGAACTCCGCGGGTGGATAGTATATTCAACAAAACCTGAGAAAGATAGCAACAAAATTTCATAAACAAGTGGGTTTAAGTTTAGAGACAGTGGTAAGCGGGAGGAGGGTCACCTAATACATGTACCTATTTATGCGTGTTTCATATGAATGGAGTGTCATGCTCATATCTAAGGGTAAATTTCTTTATTTTCTGTTAGATTTGATATGAGAAGAGTTCTTTATTTTGCATTTAACTTCCACTTGTAGTATTAGGGGGACTCATTGCTGAAAGTGCAAAAAATTGCAGACTTTTTTCCAAATAAAAAGAATGGTTAATATATAAGTAGGAATTACAATGTCAGCCACTGTGTGTTTTCCCATGAAGTTATTGGAATACGCCCAAAGACACTGTTACAACGTTATGTGCATATGCAAGAACTAATCAGCACGAAACAATCCATTAGCTGAAGAGGAGGGAATTACTGGATCAATTTGACTGTTAGCTGTTGGCTTTTCACATTGTTTGTTGTGCCTTTGTTATTTGAGGAGAAAATCATATCTCTTGTCCTTGTTTTCTTTTTTTACATTCAATCTTTTGTTTAACAAAAAAAAACAAAAATTCCAAAATACATATCTAAATGAACCTTCATCCATGCTAAAGAAGTCAGGAGAAACAAAACCTTCGAAATTTTAAAAAATAAATGTGAAGTATTTGGAAGAGTTTACATAATAAATTTGAGTGTATTTTTACAGATTGTTTGACTTTGACCTTTGATATTAGAGGATGATGTCATAAAATCCATATTTGTTTTCTATCTCTCTTTTCCAAAAAGTATTAAAAGCTTTCTACCGAAAAAATAATATAAGAAGCTACATTTTATAAATGAAGTTGTTCGGAGGAGTTTTCCTAGACATGAAGCTACTTTGGCATGGTTACTTTATGATCAGATTTAGCTTTCAGAGAGAACATTCATGGTGGCTTGCAAATTGCATATTATCTTTCTTTACATATTTAATCAAATGTCAAGGCAGACACGATTTCTCCAATTTTTCGGGACGAACCCAGAATTAATAGATGAATAACCAAAATCTTTGAGTCCAAATGTTGAACATTTTACTTGTTTTTTAATATTGTTTGATTGGGTCTGGAAGCAACCGAAGGAAAGGCACGAATGAGAGAGGCAATTGGATGAAATCCTACCTAGTTAGAGCCCTAGACACCTGAGCCAGCACTAGGTGCCTGCTGAAGATCAAACTTGCTACCCTTTCAATTTGCATTGAAATAGACACGGCAGAATGTGCTACACTAGTTGTGAACTAGTGATCCTATCAGTGACAACAAAAGCTAGTAAATAAATCGACGAAAAAAAAGAAGATAACCTGAACACCATTATGCTGATGGGCAAGAGTAGAACTATGTGGATGAAGTAAACAACAGCCTTCCAAAACTCTAAGAGCAAGTGCAATTTCATCATCTGTAGATGGACTAGTTAACTTCATAGGTTCCACACCAAATATATGACTCATGTCTCCTACCAACTTATTGTAATTATGATCATTCCCCGTTTCCTTTAACGAGTGCTGAAAGAGAACCGGAACGACTGCAATCAAAGCAAAACCACAGTAAAGAAATTGAAACAGTAACAGTAAAGATAATGATAATGCAAATGCGGAAGAAGAAGATACCTTGAAGTTGGGGAATGGATTGTGTTAGGTTAAATAGGTAAATAGTAGAATCGGAATCGGCAATGGAATTGAGGAAATTGAGAATGGAACGGAGAGCACGGAGACGGAGGAACGAGAATTCAGCGCGTGCGTCTCGGAGACCGGTGGTGAGAGCGAGAGTTACTTCCCGATATACCCTTTGTTGATGAAGGGAATTCACAAGCTCCACCACGGAACCATTTGGATCTGATGATCCGGTTGGATCTGGTTTCTCACTTTCTATCCCTTCACTCCAGTGTGGTTTCTTCAAATACATGATTTGGGTTTTGTTAGGGTTAGTGATGAGTCATTGTTGAATTTGAATTGGGGAAATTAGGGTTTGTGAAAAATGTAAGAAGAATTGGGATGAAGCTCGAAATGTGAAAAACTTTTTTTCTTTTGTATTATTTTGTTTTTAATTTTAAACTAGTTTAATTGTATTTATTTTTAAAATATAATAAAGTTTAAAAAAAATTATTTATAATATAAGAAAGTTAGATGTTCTAAAAAAACACTTTTTAACATTTGTTCTTTGTATGTCACCTCATCAATTTGAAAATATTTTACGTTTAAAATTAATATGATACTCGTGCGTTCGCACAGTTATAAATTTATCATATTGATAATAACAAAAAAATATGAGACAAATATAATTAAGTTATCCAATAAAACAGTAATGTAAACCAAAATATTAGTTGTACCAACATTCATAAATATAATACTTTCAAATATTACCCATTCATTATACTCCCAAAACAGTAATGTCTGGCAATGGATGATTGAGCGAGATTGGTTAGAACATAATCTGGTAGCATGGCTTCAGGACAAAGTAATGTACGAAATAAGTGGTTAAGAGATGTTGGTATTTGTAAAGAAATGACAGATATCACGGGTAAAACAACAGACAATGTGTAACAGAATACCGTGCATACAAAACTCTGCAGAAAATATAGAACAACACAGGATTGCAGTTTTAGAATGAGGAGGCAGTGAATGTTTCAAAATGATATCACCGTATAAACTTCGTGTAATGTTGGTACTAACTGTTGTAGTATGAAAAGTAGGAATATAAGTATAATATAACTGAACTGGTATCAAAATCCAAAAGGTTGGAAGTTATAAATTTTAGTGGATAGGGTGATTATTAAAATTTGATAATTGTATTAATAAGGGTGACCCTTAATGTGTGCAGTATTTCACATGAGTGACAATACATTATTGCATATGTACATATAATAAAAATTGGGCAATGATGTTGTGTTATTCAACCTGACCTACATCTTTAGAAAAAATAGATTTGATAGTACCTACATATACCATTTTATTAATTTCGTTGTTCGGTCAAAGGAGGTGGCATATGTGATTAACATCATAGGAGATGGTCAATGGGGTTATTATAATTGGAGGTGTGTGTAGATTGATTGGTATATGGAGGTGTATACCACTTTTTTCATTGAATAAAAATATATCACATCGCAATGATACGTTGAATCACAAATCACATGTTACTGTCACATGTAACCGCAGGTCCATGACATTATCTGTAATAAGATTTCATATTCTACCAACATCAAAGACAGATGAAAATATGATTGAATTTAAATGTATACCGTTTACGATGAATTTGTTGCCCTATCAATATTAGTCATGTTTAAATGTCATATGAGATTCAGCTCAGAACATTGCAGTTGTAGATGATATATAAAACTCAATCAAAGATACCAACGCCAAAAAAGAAACACAACCTAACTTGTTTGTTTTTCATATACAACAACATGTAACACTGATAATTATAGCACAGGTCCATGACATTATCTGCAATGAGATAGCCTAATGTACTTACAGCTACGACAAATCACAAATGTCGTCCATACAATTTACATGAATATTAGAGTAACATAATTATCCTAAATTCTACCGTACGACTCCAAATAGTGTAAGGGTTTTCCAACATATGCAAATCTCCACAAGCGTCTTGGATGAGAAACGTCTTGATTTGGCAGGGAAAACCTATAACAGAATCTGAGTTTAGTTACTTTCCAGCAATGCAGATGTTAAAAGTGTTGTGCAAATGCTGCTAATTTCCTGAAGCCTTTTTGAAGAAGGTTCTTGGCATATGTTGGCACAAAGCCATGTCTGAAACCGACTTTACTGTTATACAGCAGTGTGTAGATTCAAAACAATGGATTAACACCTGCTGCTCCATATGAGTGATAATAGAGTAATAAATTCCTAATATTTTAACGTAAAATTATGTAAACACGTTGATTCAAAATATACACACAGATGCAAGAAATTGTGTGTTAACATTAAGTTAGCATAACTTAATGGAACACAAGTCTAATTTTACAATTTCAAATCGAAAAGGCAAACAAATATAAAAAGGTAAGAGGGATAATTGTCAACACAAAGTTAAACTAAAACCAACGAAGACACATAACAAAATACATCTACGACTAATCACTCTTCTCCAGCTTGATTATCTTCTTAAGCTTGTTAGAAGAGAGCTCTCCATCATAGAAGCCTTATGAGGTTGTTGATTCACTTGAACCCCCTGGAAACACTCTCTTACCAGTAGGCGTCATTGGATTCGGGTTATGCTTAGAGGTGATCTTGAGATCCTGTTACACAATGAATGAGACAAAAGGTTTTATTTTATACCATTCAGACAACATAAACTTATTCAGAAACTGGGAGGGGGTCACATATTATCGTTTCCCTTACACATTCTTCAGGCGCACTCGTCTTGGCCTCATCCACACTCTCTTTAATATAAGCATAATATAACAATATTCATTATACATAATATAACCATATAACAACAACTATACTAAAACAAACAAACAACTAAAAACTACAATAGGGTAAATACTTACAGAGAATCAGATGTTATGGAGGGGACCAAAATAACTTCCTTTTTGAGAAACAAAGTATCATAAAAAAAATATGCAATACCCAAATAAACAAACAACCTAAAATACCAAAACCATGTTAAGAAGATTATACCTCATTTATGTCCCATGGAGCCTTAAGCTGCCTGATAAAAGGCTCATACCTAAGGATCCTCACGACAGAGAAATTGTTCCAACGCGGCTTCCACTTTACCTTAAATGTCATCTCCAAGTTCATCAGGTGATCAAGTGCCAATGGGAATTCCAATAGATCATCAATTCCATCCTATATAACAAACCTGAACAATGAGTACTAATACATTACAAAAATGCATATACTAAGGGGTGGGGAATAAGACACTAAACCTTGATCATAGTATGACGTAGTTAGGAAGCAGATAAACCTAGAAGAAGCTCACATTCTCTATTCCAAAAGGCAAAGTTACAACGGTTGCTCCCATGGAAAACCTGAATCTCTATCATGTTCTTACAATGTCATTGTGATACGGTGGGAGAACTGACTTGGAGTTTTGCTTTTGTGTTTGCAAATGTTGCGGTTTAGCAAGAGTCGCCACCGACTTTTCTTTTATCCAAAAGGAAAGGTGAAAAAGCACAGGAAAGACCTTTAGAGATGTTTTCTTGAGTTCGGGGGGTAGATTATGAAAAGGGAAGGTATTAGCACCCTTTTCATCCATGGTTTTCCATAGGCTCTTAGTTACTCGCTAGATCACTTGCTTTTGTTTGAATGTGCTTTATGGTGTGGGCTTTGAAAGTGTTTTGAAAATATCTTTGTAATGGTTCTCGTTTCTATAAGAACGTATACAAAGTTTTGTTTCGAAAGATAGTTCAAAGACGTGTTTGTGGAATGTGTTTTAGAAGGTGATTTTCGAAAAGATATTTTGCAATGGTTCTCGTCTCTATAAGAACGCATAAAAAATGTTTTATTCTTTTGAAAATGTTTTTTGAAATGAAAGTGTTGGTGTGTAAAATGTTTTTGTTGCGAGCAAGCGAGTAACTAAGAGCGAACCTACCTACTCGAAAGGTCTTAAATGTGCTTTTCCTTCTCCTTTAGATATGACTATCTTACCATTGATTTGATAAGAAGCCCCGTCGTTGGATGTGAAGGGACGGATGTTGGAACGTTTGTATAGTCATAGAAGGCAACCCATGGGACGTTTTAGCAATGTCGTTTTAGGGACTAGATCGTTTACCGAAGGCAACATCGAGGGTCATCGAGGGACTACGAACCTTTTTTATCGAAGGGTTTTTGCTAAAACGTCCCATATTCGAGGGACATGACTATTTTTCCGAAAGGCAACAAAGATGAGATTACCTTAGAGATGCTAGTGTGCAAGTGTGTTGGTTTGCATGCATTTTTTCTTGTATTTGAAAGTCATCTATTTATTGATTTTATCTTGCCATACATCCTATTTACTAACAATATATGAAAAGCAAGTAAAAATGCGGGAAATAAATCCTAAGTTATTACATCACTTTAGGGGGGTGGGGGTACAAATTTACAATGTGGATGAAGTGGGAACTGAAATATTACAACCATATCGAATAATAATGAAAACAATGTGAAAACAGTGCAAAACAAAGGAAAAAATGCATTTTTAACTGCTATGTGACGACCCATGCTGCTATGCATCGACACATAGCTTGTCCCTGTCCCTGTAAAACAAAATCAGTTCAGTATGAGTCAACACATAACGGGATGTGTCGACTCATACACCTTCTTGTATTGACGCGAAAAGCGTATGTATCGACTCATAGGCTTTTCCAGCTTCTATTTTGTAACTTAAACTCAGTATGGGTCGATGCATGGGGGTTATGTGTCGACTCATACCCTGTTTTTTCACTAGGATGAGTCGATACATGAGGACATGTGTCGATACATGCTGCATTTTTCTGCCTTAAACATTGTTTTACTGACTGTACAGGTTAGCTTATGATGGATAAATGTAAAAAAAAAAAAGATTGAATAAGCTTAAACCATAAGCAAATGATTAGTTCAAAGAGATAATAAAATACTACATCTTATCTTCAAAAACAACAAATCATTAATGATGTATGAAAAGATATCAAGTCAAGAAGACTTACCTTTTGGGTTGCACTGGTTGTTTTAAATCTGGATGTTTTCCAAATGTTAAGATGACCTCAATGAATCTCCAGAAAGCTACTCCGGACTGTTGGAACTAAGTTAGGTTGTACTGTGATGTTTTTGGTATTTTTTGAATGTGAAGATGAATAATACTACAAGGACTGTTTTTATGTTTAGAAAGTCTTTGTAGGTGAAGAGTTGTTTGGCTTATGGGAGAGTTTGTATGGTGGAGTAATGGGTTGGGGTCTTGTTTTGAATAAGAACAGAAATTTTGTTTTGAAA